GTATGCAGCAAGGAGAGAGTTTATTTGCGAGGCAGCCAAACAAGGAGATAGGAGGAAAACCCTCCCATCCACCTCCCCAAAGGAGAGAAATTTGGGTGGGGTATGGTGAGGAAGGGAAAGAACCTGTCAAATTAAGGAGAAATTTACACATAAAAAAGGTCTGGGTAAAAGTCCACCTGTGCTTAATCGTCTACACCTGCGATTAGTCTCATTGACCCTTGGTTACTGCTTTCAATATGAGAGCAGTGCGTGGTGCCTCAACACAATTACAAAAGTAACATCAGAGATCACTAGTCACAGATCACCATAACAAATATCATAATAATGAAAACATCTGGAATATTGCGAGAACTACCAAAATATAAGAGACAGGAAGTGAGCAAATGCTATTGGAAAAATTGCCACAAACCTTCAACTTCTAAAAAACGCAGTATCCATGAAGTGCAATAAAATGAGGTGTGCCTACAGATAAAGGATAGAGGTAGAATTAGCCTAAACAATATATGGTTTGGTTTTACATAGTTTTGAATTTTATGTTCAGGAATTATACCTTATGTAGTCTTTGGTGACCTGTTTTTTTTCTAAGCTCATCACTATGTGGAGGCTCAGTCATTCATCTACATAGTGTCAACAAGTACACCTCAGTTTATCTATTTCTCTGCAGTTGGATAATTGCATTTCTCTTAGTATAAATAAGGTTGAGCATTGGCCATGTTCACAAAGAACATGCTCTATACATTTGAGGGTTTCTCCCAAGAGTTCAACTCTGGTCCCTTTAGCAGGACTGGACACAGGGATTTCTTCAGCTAAGCAAACTTAGTCCTGGGTGACAGGTTCTTTCCCTTCCTGACCATACCCCACCCAGAGGGAGGGGTCCTTTCGGAACTCCTTTGCTTGGCTTGAGGTGGGGTGGAAACACCCCTTTCTTCTCCAAAGGGAAGAAAATGAAAATGGAAATACACAGCACACCACAATTTCCTCCAAAGAAATGATGTCACATTGTTCCCCAACATATTTCCTCACCTCCTCTTATATATCCTGAGGATTGACGGACAAAGAATGTGTAAACTCTTCTTTCCTCCGCAAAATCTGGAGGAAGCTGGTCTGGTTTCTTGCTTTGAAACACGTAAGCATTTTATTTTTTACTTTTATTTTTTAAAAAGATTTATTTGAGAAAAAGCAGGTGCACACGTGAGCAGGGGAGGGACAAAGGGAGAGGGAGAGAGAACCTCAAGCAGACTCCCCAATAAGCGTGGAGCCCCACTTGGGACTCAATCTCACAACCCTAAGATCATGACCTGAGCTAAAATCAAGAGTCAGGCACTCAACCGACTGAGCCCCCCAAGCACCTCTCTCTTGCCACTTCTATTCAACATTGTACTCCATGTCTTAGCCAGGGCAGTTAGGCAAGAGAATAATGAAAAGTATACAGATTAGAAAAGAAGTAAAACTGTCCCTATTTGCACATGACATGATCTTGTACATAGAGAATCCTAGGGCGCCTGGGTGGCTCAGTTGGTTGAGCAGCTGCCTTCAGCTCAGGTCATGATCCTGGAGTCCTGGGATGGAGTCCAGCATTGGACTCCCTGCTTGGTGGGGAGCCTGCTTCTCCCTCTCCCTCTGCCCCTCGCCCTGCATGTGCACTCATTCTCTCTTTCTCTCTCTCTGACAAATAAATAAATGGAATCTTAAAAAAAAAAAAAAAAGAAAAAAATACTTAGGAACAAATTTAATCTCCCCCCCTAAAAAAAGTGCAAGATGTGAACACTGGAAAATATAAAAGTTATAGAAATAAAGAAGACCTAAGTAAAGGGAAAGACATCCTATGCCCATAGAAGACTTAACATTGTTAAGATGGCAATACAGTACTCTCTAAATTGACAAGCTAATCCTAAAGTTCATATGGAAACGCAAGAGACCCAGAATAGCCAAACCAGTCATGAAAAGGAATAAAGTTGGGGGACTCGTACTTCCTAATTTCAAGACTTACTACAAAGCTACACTAATCAAGACAGTGTGGTACTGACATAAGTTTAGACATACAAATCAATGGAATAGAATTGACAATCCAGAAATAAATCCTTACGTTTAAAGTCCACTGGTTTCGAACAAAGGTGCCAAGAAAACTTGACAGGGAAAGAATAGTCTTCCCAACAAATGGTGCCAGAACAGTGGATATCCACATGGAAAAGAATGAAGTTGGACACCTAACACCAACATACACAAAAGTTAACTCAAAGTGATCATAGACCTAAATGTAAAAGTTAATGGGGGCACCTGGCTGGCTCAGTCTGTGGAGCATGCAATTCTTGATCTCCAGGTCATGAGTTCAAGTCCCACGCTGAGTCTAGAGCTTACTTAAGAAAAAAAAAAAAAGTTAAAATTATAAAACTCTTAGAAGAAAGCAGAAGTAAATATTCACAACCTTGAGTTAGGCAATGCTTTCTTAGATATGACACCAAATGCACAAGCAACAAAAGGAAAAATAAACTGGAACTAATGAAAATTTAAAACTTTTGTGCTGCAAATGATAGCAATAAAAAGTGAAAAGTCAATCAACAGAATGGAAAAAATATTTTAAAAACATGTATCTAATGAAACTCTTAAAACTCAATAATAAAAGATAACTAATCCAATTTTTTAAATGGGCAAAGGATTTGAACAGACGTCTCTCCAAATGGAGAATAAGTATATGAAAAGATGCTCTATAGACTGCTAACCATTATGGAAATGCAAGTCAAAATGACAATATCACTTCATATCGACCATGAGGCCACAATAAAAAATACGCAAATAACAAGTAGGCAAAGATGTGGAGAAATCAAACCCCTCACACTTTGCGGTTGGGAATGTTAAAAAGTGCAGCCAAGGGGCCCCTGGGGGGCTCAGTAGGTGAAGCTTCTGCCTTCAGCTCGGGTCATGATCTCAGGCTCCCTGCTCAAGGGGAGTCTGCTTCTCCCTCTCCCTCTGCCCCTCCCCCTCCCCCTCCACTTGTGCTCTCCCTGGCTCACTCTCTCTCAAATAAATAAAATCTAAAAAGAAAAAAAAAAGTGCAGCCACTTTTAAAAAGTTTGGCAATTCCACAAAATGTTATCGTAAGACCCAGGCATTCCACTCATATATACCCAGAAAAATGAAAACTTAAATCCATACAAAAACTTACACAGATGTTCGCAGCAGCATTATGCATGATGGCCAGAAAATGGAAACAGCCAAGTGTCAATTGGCTGATGGATAAATAAAATGCATATATCCATACAATGGAATATTAACCAGCAATAAAAAGGACTAAACCCTGACGCCCACTACACTATGAGCTCTAAGATGATGCTGAATGAAAGAAGTCGGTCACGGAAGACTCCATCGTACATGCTTCCACTTAGATGAAATGTCTAGTTAGTGGTTACCAGAGGATGAAGGGAAGAAGGGAACTGCGATTTTTTTCCAGGATGATGACAACTTTCTAAAATTAGATTGTAGTGGTGGTTCTGCAACTCTTAAGAAAACCACCTTCACTTAAAGGAGTGAATCTTACAATATGTACATGATCCTCAATAAGCTTGTTCACAAAAAAGATGCCATCTGGGGGTGGATACGGGTGACGGTTGGATAATAACTTTTATATGCATTTTATACAATAACTTATGCCTTAGCTTGGAGAACCCCTCTGTGGACAAACTGGTTTGACAAGTAAATCAGCTGCATATGTGTCCGGAAAGCATGACGGCCATGATTAATTTCGGGGGGCTCGGTGTGGAGTAAACAGGACAAGCCCTTCCTCAGCGATGCCGCCCTCTCTGCCGGCGGCCTTCTGTCCCCGGATCACAGGGGTCTTCTGTCGCCAGTCCCCCTCCCCCCAGGGGTCCTCTCAGTGCGGACCCGAACCCAGCCTCGTTGGTCCGCTCAGCCAGCTGCCCCCTCCGCACTCCCGGGTCGCCGTGGCGCCGCGGTGAAGCTGGGTCTCTCCGACGGGCCTGCCTGGGACTGCCAACAGGTCCGGTAAAGCCGGGCCCCTCGGGATCGCGGCAGCACCTCCGAAAACCTAACCCGCGGCGTCGGCGCGGAGACCACCTACCCGCACGCGCGCCGCCCGGCGCTGACTGGAGCCCAGAGCCTCTGGAGTCACGCCCCTCCCAGCGCCGGGCGCGGGTCCCACGTTGGCGGACACGCGCACGCTTTCGTCGGCGCGCACGCACCGTCCGGCACGCGTACACGCCGGGAAGGACCGCCGCGCGGGACGCTGTAGTCTGCAGAGGAGCGCGCGAAGGCAGGTAGGGCCGGGGAGGGAGGGGGCGGGAGCCGAAGGAGGCGGGAGGCGATCGCCAGGGTCTCCGCTCCGGGGCTGGGGTCTGCGGGCGTCCTCTCAGTCCCGTCCCCCCTCCAGGGGTAGCGCTCAGGGGTTGGGCCGGGGGGGGGGCGGAGGCGAGGTCCCCATGGCCCCGGCCGCTCCCCGCCGTGGGACCGAGGGGCGCGGGCGGGGGTCTCCGCTCCGGGGCTGGGGTC